AAAAAATTGAATTAAAAAATTACACAAAAAATGAGAAATTTCAAATAGTTAATTTGATATTAATATCGATATATTTTTGTCAAAATTTTATGATATGTTCAAACATATATTTTATTTAAAAATAAAAACATTATCGTTTTTTCAAAATCACATAAATCCATATTATAATATCGACTGAGATAAAGAATAAAATGAAATATAAAAATCACGATGTATCTTCCTACATTGCGCGGGTATGCTTCTAATAAAAAAATGAAAGTAGAAGATTATAATAAGAAAACTTATGAAAATAAATTGCTATTTCATGTATTTTAATCTTTTAACAATTGTGATTTTCGTCCTTATAATTTATGACTATTTTTGTTTCATTATGTATGGTTTATAATTATTTACCATTTTGGTACCTTACAGTTAAAGGTAGGAATTTAATCTAGGGAAAGAAATAGTGATAAATTGTAAATCACAGGGATTAAAATCGAAATTTCTAAAACACAGGGACTAGAATAGAAATTTATAAACCACAAGGACAAAAATAAAGACTATTAACAAACCACAGGGACGAAAATCGTAATTTACTCTAGAAAAAACTAAAATAAAACCAACAATAAGCGAACAAAAGCCGGCCCAGTTTACCTTCTAGGTCTAGGGCATGGATAAACGCTCTGACGCTCTAAAATTTTCAAATTGAGCATCTTGATCTGCTAATCTCTTTTTGTATCTCTCCCAAAAATCTTTCTTGTCATCTTTCAGGTAAATTTCTCTCTTACTTTCTTCGCGATTCAACGATGATCTTGTTATATACTGAATATTATCTACTCTCGCACTTGCGGTTATTGATTTGAACGAAGTCGAAGAACACGACCAGAAAATTTCTGTTCTTGTTATGATTTTGTAACCGATTCACAGTCACTCGAAATTTAAGACCGCTGATACTAATTCTTTTTCCATTTTGATGTTTTTCTTTGGAACCGGACATTTCGTTAGGGTTCGATATGGTTTATTTCGAGACAGAAGTGTGATTAGTCTTGGATAGTTCACATCTTCTTGGATTCTTGAGAAATTGTAAAGTGTGATTGTTTTCATATTCAGATTTTTGGAAATTGGGTCTCTATTTTGTTTTTATAATTTGAAAATGATTCGTGGACTGTTTATATCTTTACATTCGCTGAAAAGGGTTTTGTACTAGTTGTCCAATTGTCTCTTGATAATGAAATTTGACAGGCGGTGTCTCAAAGATTAGCTTGTAACTCACAAGCATAAACATGAAGAAATCCTCCATAGACCATAGTTGCAGGTTCTTGTTGAGGATTCAAAATGTTCTAGTTGTCATAGCCTTCTTTCTTGTGTACGTGTAAAATAGAGCATATACGTGAAGACATCCCCTTAAAATGATATTTTGTGTAATGACTGTAGATTGCCTGTCTTTGAGGTCGTTTTCTCAAATGTAAAATACCATGTAATTTTTATCTTTCTTTTTATAAAAATGTAGATGAAGAGACCCCATGTACGCTAGAATGTTAAGAACATTGCCCAGAGGACTTTTGGCAGCTTTAGCATGTGTTTATTCAGTTATCCTTGTCTTGGGGTTGGTTTGGAAAAAAAAATGTTAGGAAGCATTTAAAAGCTGATGTGATTTCTGATGAAGTTCCATATTGTAATTAGTTAGCAATGGGAAAGTTTATTAGGGTCATGTTGATTCTACTATTCATATGACAACTATATACGTATACATTCCTTTTTTGCTGTCTTTCAAGTCCTGCTTGGTAAAAGATCTCTAATTTGACTTCATTCTTACTGCAGCTTTGTTGCTAAGGTTGAATCATGCGGAGATACAGTCCACCATACCACAGTCCTCCACGGAGAGGATATGGAGGTCGACCAAGAAGTCCTCCCAGGAGGGTATATGAAGGTGAGCGAGGGAGGCACAAGGAGGAGAATCATGGTAGCCTTTTGGTTCGTAATATTCCATTAAATTGCAGGTAAACTTTCTTTATCCATCGTATATGTTTCAGCATGGCTTAATTTTAATCAGTATGCTATTTCTATAGGATCTTATAAACCTCTTCCATTGCTTTTTGAGCTTCCTCCTTTTGGATTCCTTGTGATTATCTAATTTTGTTTTTTCTACTTGGCCTTCTAGGGCTGAAGAGCTTCGTGTCCCTTTTGAAAGGTTTGGAGTGGTCAGAGATGTCTATCTCCCAAAGAACTATTACACTGGGTGGGTATGCATACCGATAAGTTGGTCCCGACTTATCTGGGCCTTTTGACTTCTAATTTATTATGAAATGTTTGAAAATCAAAATATTAATTATAATCTAAAAACTTGTTTAATTACGCGGGTTCTATTCTTGTTGATGCATATGCACTATTTGTATGGATGCCTAAAATTTCTTTCGCTTATTCCATCTCACATATCATTTATGTTATTTGTGATTATGTTTTTCAGTACGTGATCATAAGATGCATATTGGGACACTCTTCTTTTTTTGTTGGTTCCTCTATGATACAGCGCCCCACTATATTTTATAAGCTGTAAAATTTCTAATGCTTGCCATAAATATTCCAAGTTGTACTTGAACAAAGGATTATCATGTGCAAATGATCAACTGTTCCTGCTACATGTTATCCAATTTGATATTGTTCAAACTAACAAATAAATACTTACTTAAGGAAATGGTGCTAGGGAAAGACTTGAGGTTTGCGAACTGAGAGTTCATAGAAGAGCTATGCTTGCTGGTTTTGGTATATCCTGCATACGTGATTAAAATGTATTCTATATCAATTTAATTTGTTGGTGATGGAAAGAAGAGTGAGTTTTATTAGCTCTGCTGTAAAATGCTATTATGTAGGCCTTTCTTTCATTTGTGTTCATGGTGAGTTATGTTTTGACCTGGTTTGTCAGGGGGCGTGTTGTTTGAAGTTAAAACAAGCCCAAGCCCCACAATTGATGAAGGCTCTTCTGTTTATCATTGCCTAACAAATTTCCCATCAAGGGTGTTAAGAGTAATGTTGAAATGAAGAATGTTCCATTATGAAGAGAAATTATATAACCATACAATCATTAGAAGTTTGATGTGGAAGAAGATTGATTCTTCACCAATTGAGGAGAAGTTGAGGAATTTTTACTTTGGGACAACATTGAATTCGAGTTCGTCAATTATTTACAAGAATGTGAAGAATTTTGAAGTCAATTGCATCTTTTGAAGTTGCCAATTTGCCATTCATACTTGATTGTAAAAGAAAAGGTCAGCCATTTGGATCTTAGCTGCTTTCGTGTACTTCTGTATTAGGTTCATATAGAACAATTATGAAGCTGATATATGCTTTACAAGAAGGTATAATAAGAAAAATCTGAATCAACTAGTGTCTCATAGTGGTTGGTGGTTTCTTGTTATTAGGAATTCTATACATATTTGGTGTTTTCTTTCAAGATTTGGTTTGTATTGTATGCAGAGAACCTCGTGGGTTTGCATTTGTGCAGTTTGTGGATGCTTATGATGCTGCAGAGGCCCAATATCATATGAATGGACGGATGTTTGCCGGTAGGGAGATTTCTGTTGTTCTGGCTGCAGAAACAAGGAAGAGGCCTGAGGAGATGCGCCGAAGAACCAGGGTTAGGTAATACATATTGGTTTTGTTTGCAATTATTGTTTGACTATGACGTTTTCTGATAGTTATGATGCTTGAAAATACTATAGAGGACCCTCGGGTAGTGACGGCAGGAGATCTTATCATGGTAACAATAGAACCTCATGTTTTTGTTTTATGTTGAGATTTTTGTTTTTCATTGCTCATGTGTGATTGATTAGTCATGCTTGTTTTATGTTCTACCTATAAGGGAGATCTCGGTCGCAATCACGGTCCCGTTCACGCTCTCCTCGTCGTCCTTTAGGTTCTAGAAGCCGTCATCGGTCAAGGTACGTAATTCCCAAACTTGCTATTTTGCATGATGACATCCAATTTGTGAAAGGTTGTGAACCTTGTTGCAATCCAACCAGGTCCTACTCTCCCGCTCCCAAACGACGAAGTGACTACTCTCAATCTCCTGTAAAAAGAGAGCCTCGATCGCCTCTTGTAGGACGAGAGATTGATGATGTTCGTAGGTCTTATTCTCCAGGTTATGGTGCTGCTGCCGACCAGAATGTTGATAGGTACGTTTTCATCTTGTATATTTGTTATCGCCACAGATGATTGCAATGTTTTCCAGTTACCTGATTGAGTGAAACATGGTTATGTAGGAGGTCTCCTTCTCCGTACGAAGGAGGGGCAGGGTACAAGTCGTCAGCGTCAAGGTCACCACCGGGATCTAGGTCTAGATCTGCTGCTGATATATCACCACCGCCCCGGGATTAACTTAACGGAATGATGTTTATTATATGGACATGTTTGCCATATGTACATGTATGCTACTTAACATTAAAACTTGCTAGTCACTTGGCTTGTGTATTTCTAGAATTAATCGACTTTGTTGTGTTTGATATTTCATGGATTATATATGTGCTCTTTTTCTTCGTTAAAAACCAAATCTGTATTCACAATCCGTATCGAAAGCTGGAAATCAGTTTAAAGTTTATCATTGTTTAAGTTTCATCTTTAAAATTAATTTCTATAGGTATGGAAAAAGTCTTCACAACCCAAGAGAGCTAGGGTTAGTTGGAAAGATTGCAATGTGGTAAAAACTTTTCAAGAGTCATGTTTGCGAGAGATATCTATAAATGGGCGAGAGGGTGGTGGCCTTAAGACAATTTCTTGGAGGAAAATAGCTGAGACGTTAGAAAAGACATATAATTTTATTGTGGACTAAAGACAAATGAAAAACCATTACGGCTACCTCAAAGACAAATATGGAGTTTGGTCAAAATTGAAAAACAAAATTGGAAATATCTATGATGTGTCAACAAACTCTTTTAAACTGTCTGAAGAGAAATGACAAATGGAAACAAATGTTGTAACACCTTGGAATTTCTTCTTCGCCCTCATTCTCCATTTCTTTTTCGTTGAGAATTCTTCCGCCCCGTTTGCAAGATATACGTCTCTATTTATATTTATATGTATTATTTATGTGTGCTTTATATATTAGGATTTTGTATCTTTATATCTTATTTAATCCTTTCTTTGATGTGGAAGTCTTTTGTCATTTACCTAGTAGGATTTAGGGCTAGGGGGTTTTAG